AATACCTTGTGATTGAACTTGTTTTATTGAAATCATTTGCATTCTTCTTGGCAATTTTATATCTATATTGACTCTGAACCTATGTGGAGGTGTTGCATATTGTCCTCATCTTGATATTAGGAGGACCACGTAACACTACTTTCATAGTCCATTACATTCAGCCTGCATCAGCCCATATGGCTTCAATTCTACTGTAACTTGGATTCTTATGGCGGCGAGAATTTCTGGATATTGCATCTCTTTATCTAATGTGTTTAGCTATTTGATTTTTCTACTTTTTTGGACTGAGCCAACTTACGAGAATAAGAATCGTGAAAATATGATACCGTCGACCATGCTTGTGTTTTGTTCAATTCTTAATTCATCTCAATAAAACTTTTGTCCCAATTAATTGGGGTTGCCTTACATGGTGTTCATTTTTTGAGCAAGTTATCCTATGGTGACTTTTGGGGCTACCAAATTTTGAATACCACTTGTTGTGTCACCAACCCATTGGTTTAATGAGTCCCACCATTCATTGGTGCATAGTAGATAGTAATATCCAAATTGTTACCTGAACTTGGTCTTCGTCTTTTCTTTCTCTTCATCTTATGTATCTTGTTTCTCCATCCTTACAACTCAAGATAGAGAGCATTGTAAGCCTTCAATTTAATTTTAACCTCCTTAACTGCTTTAGATTTTCCTTTCCATAGTATCTAATAGCTTTAGTGCAGGTGCAACTAATTGAGCCTGCTGTGAAGGGTACTCTTAATGTACTCAAGCATGTTCTGAAGCAAATGTCAAACGAGTGGTGGTTGTATCTTCTGGAGCTGCTGTTTCCTGTAACCCTGAATGGCCCCAAGGGTCAAGTGAAGGACGAGACTTTTGGTCTGATGCGGAATACTGCAGAAGAACTAATGTAATCAATTAAACAAGCCAACTTTAAACTTGTAATGATTATGTTGCGATTGTAGTGCATTTCTGCTTGATATTATTCCAAAGCTATTTAAATTGTAGGTTCCATGCTAATGTTTTCTATATTTATATTGATTTTCTGGTTCTTTGCCCTAGAATTGGTATTGTCTTTCCAAAACAAAAGCAGAAAGTGAGGCTTTTGAAGTATGCGAAAAGAAGTGGGCTTGATGTTGTAAGAGTGTGTCCAACCCATGTTTTGGGACCAATGCTCCAGTCCACAGCAAATGCTAGTAGTTTGGTTCTCATTAAGCTTTCAAAAGCGTACCTAATTGAATAAAACCTATATCATTTTATTTTCTCAGGAAGAAGTAGCATTTTTTATCCATGTAAATCTTGTTTTCTTTTATTCTAAAATGGTGTGCTCATATGTGTTCCTATGCATGTTTATATGCTGCGGTGGAATGTTAAATTTTGAACTTTAATGCTTGAGAAGTTACTTTTTGTATTACATTCCATATGGGAAGCATTTTTGCTCTGCTTTATCCTTCTTGTTATGCTTTAAGCCTACAATCTAGGACTCCAATTTGTATTAAAAGGATAAATGTATATATATATATATTATATATAATGCCCGAGTTTTGGTGATGTTAAGCCTTGAGAAATGGTGATGCTTGTTTTTCCAATCATTCTCATTATGATTGAACTTCTAGAAGGTGAGGCCAATTGAGCTCCAAAGTTTAGTGTTGCAATGCTTTGATTGAACCCTTTCAAAAGCACTGAAGTCACCCTATAGAATTTAATTATGCTTTCCTATTAAAGTCATTACATAAGGATTGAAATGGCCATATATGGAAGTATATGTGATGTAGGACGAGTATGGATTACTTTTCCTACAAGTAGTGAGTCCGGGTTAAAGTATACTGATAGCCGCAACAAATAGACTTATAGTTCTAGATTTGGTAGGAGTTTGTGGCTGCAAAGTATTTAATAAAATAGGAGTTTAAGGGTTTTGAAAAATATAGGGTTTTGTGAATGAAAATGCAAGTGTTTAGGGATTGTTGGGTGGCTGTTCTAAGTACTCTGAACAGTGATGTGAACAGTAATCTTGTTGGATAGAAGGGAGGAGAAAGAGAAGAGAGAGGTGCTTCACTCTTCACAAGGGATAGGCCAATCACACAATCACAATCTCAAATTTTCATAATATTAACTCTTTTTCTTCAATCATTAAGATTACACATATATTTATAGGCTAAAAACTCTCCTAATTCTATAAGGACTATAACTCAAATTAGAATCAAAAATATTTAGCAACTACTAATATTCTAGACCAACTGTGACTTCAATTCTACTTCAATCATAATAGGAAACTTTAATGATTTTTTAATTTTACTTCAATATCAAAATAGAAAACTTGGACTTTTGACCATTAGAATTATTTTAGACATATAAAACTAGGGTGAGCAGCGATATACTGATCCATCCAAACCGACCGAACTGAACCGAATAAATCCGCCGCATTTTGAACGGATGCGTGATGACGAAGGCGGATAGTTGCGGATTGATTTTTTTCAATCCGCCTAATTTTGGACAGATGACGGATTTGAGGTTCCGTTGGCCGCAACCGAACCGCCTAACCACCAGCACCTCTACTAATTTATTAAGACTCTGTTTCAATTTGTTAAATATTTTTGTTTATGTTTTCAATTGAAAAAGAGTTTAAATATTCTGTTGAATATAGTCTGCTGAAAAAGAGCTTTCAACTTGAATATATTTTTGAATTGAAAAAAATAAATGTACTATTTATCTATATTTTTTGGTTTAAATCTAAATTTGAAAGTAATAAATTAAAAAATGATAATATACTAGTTGATTTTTATTTTTAAAATAGATATAGATGTTAACAATACAGAGACATAAAATCTCTACCATTACTCTATTCATGGTTTTGGTGGTTTGAATTATTTTTTATATTTTAGGAATCAAACAGATTGTAATACTTTATGTGGATGAGGCATGTTGTGATTGTAATATGTGGATGAGGTATGCAGTGATTTTAATACTTTTTAAGTCATTGACGTAATATTTCTTTTTTTTTAGGAAGTGCACAAGTTGAATTATGTTGAAAATTTATAAAATTTTAAACCGCCAAATCGATTCGCATCTATCTGCCAATCCGCTCAATCCACATCTGCCGGATTAGCGGACCGATGCGGATTGATTTTCTCCAATCCACCAATCTGATGGCAGATGATGAATTAGAAGTTCTATGGCCGCAGCCACCCGTGCCCATCCCTAAATAAAACCCATATATAATAAACCCATTTAATAACTTGATCCAAAAACAATCTATGGGCGACCCCTACAACCTATGCCCAACAATTATTAGAAATTATTTATTATACCCTTAATTACTAAAACTTACTATAATGACATGAAGATTTGAAATTATTCCAAATATTTAATTTTTGATGCCCTAAATGTGCTTCATGTGAAATTCCAGATTTGCTTTAACTTTTTTTTTCTCCATGATTCTCATCATTCTACCTTGCATTCGAAAAAACTCGACCTCGAGTTTTATAATGTTGAAGTTATGAGGATTATGAAATCTTGCACTTGCAAACATTTAAATTGATTGTTTTGAATGAACGATGAGAAATCAAAAAATTCAATGTTGTCATCACTCCATTGACCACATAAATTATTAGGAATAACAAACTCAATGTGAACTTCATTTTTCTGTGAAGACCAGAAAATTCAGTGGATTCTTATTATTTTCTTTGGCTTTCTTGGCTTTTAGATTCTTGATCATGATTGATCTTTCATGCTTTCCTTTAGTAAACAAATTAATATTTTAGCCTTCATTTCTTCAAGATCTTCAATATTAGTAACATGTTCATCTTGCTCTTTATAGTTTCTTCAAAATCTTCCAACATAATCATCTTTGCTCTTAGATATTAATCTTCTCCAAAGCAGCAGCCACTAATATTTTCATGAAAGCTTTCATCCTTCAAAGTTGTCTGGATAGTATGCACATCACTCTTTATTGTTGCAATATCCTCCTTAATTATCCCAAAATCCTCCTTAACATCACAACATCTTTCTTTAGTAGCTCTATAATGTTGACAAAGGTTCAATTTCAAATTTCAATCAATGCTTGTCAACATTGTAATAAAGAAAGAAATTTCAAGAAGGTGAGTAGGGAGAGAGAGAAGTCGGACCTTAGGGTTTGGAATCTAAAAAGATGATAAAAAGACTGATCAAAACCCGCTGCTGCGTATATAAACTGGACAGGCTCGCTCGAGCGAAGACTTGGTCGCTCGAGCGACCAGACACAGAGAAACTACGCTCGAGCCAAGGAAGCCTTGCTCGAGCCAACAACTCAAAAGCTCGCTCGAGCGAAAGAAAGCTCGATCGAGCGAAGAACTCAAACCCTCAGGTCTGCAACAAGACACACGCTCGAGCGAAGGAACTATTGCTCGAGCGAAGAAAATCTCGCTCGAGCCAAGAATGAACAGCTACAGGTCCAAAACAAACGCAACCATTCGCTCGAGCGAACAACTCCTCGCTCGAGCGAAGAACCAAAAAAACCTGGACAGCAACACTTGGTTCCTAAACCCAACCAACCTGAAACAAACCTGCCCAACACATCCTATAATTCCAAATGAGAAAATAAGGGACAACAACAACAATTATACAATGACAGAATCTACGGAACCTAAGTCCGGATACAATAATCAAGTGGGAAAAGACCGGGGTCGCTATACAGTGAAATTCAGAACACAAATTAAAACGAGATGCACAGTGAAAGCATGGTTTGGAATCACGTTTTTTTCAGAAAAAATTTTATGTTAAAAGCGTGGTTTTTCTTAATTAAAAGCGCGATTTCGAATAGCGGTTTCAATGTTCAACAACTTTTCGACCCCAAACAGTGAAAGTGCGATTTGTAATAACACTTTAGCTTGATTTGAGAATTCCGTCTAAATTAGACCTAATTTAAAAATTAAGATACAAAATAGACTTAATATGGGAAAAGCCTCCGTAACCGACTCGTAATTATCTTTTTTATAAGACTTGTGTGTTTTTGATGAGGTGAGGGCAGTATGAGTGGGTTGTGGTGGCTATAGGGCATAGTAGTGGTTGACTTAGCGAGTGAATGGCGGAAGAGAAGGGCACAGTGTGCGTGACAGGGGCGGGAGGGTACGTAGCTTCTTGGTTGGTGAAGCTTCTTCTCTCTAATGGTTACTCCATCCATGGAACCGTCAGAGATCCTTGTAAGTCCACCAATCCCTATGCCTATCCCTATCCCTCTTCCTCTCCTCAACTTTCCATCGCCTCTCTAACCACTGTTATATCTCTTACATACCAATCTCATCATCTATTCAACTCGTATGATTATTGTAGCTCTCTCTCTCTAGTTGATGCTCTTTTTGTTTTAATTTAGAATAACATGTTTATGAACATATATTCCTTGATCTAAAAGATTTTCATATGGATTTGTAAATCCTATTCAATTTATCTTGCAGATGATGAGAAAAATTCTCATTTGAAAAAACTTGAAAAAGCATCCGACAAGCTTAAACTCTTCAAGGTGGACTTGCTGGATTAAAACTCTCTTTCTGCAGCCATCATGGGGTGTGTCGGAGTGTTCCATGTCGCCAGTTCAGTTCCCCCCGGCAGCTTGCCAAATCCGGAGGCAAGAATACCTTGTGATTGAACTTGTTTATTGAAATCATTTGCATTCTTCTTGGCAATTTTATATCTATATTGACTTCTGAACCTATGTGGAGTGTTGCATATTGTCCTCATCTTGATATTAGGAGGACCACGTAACACTACTTCATAGTCCATACATTCAGCCTGCATCAGCCCATATGGCTTCAATTCTACTGTAACTTGGATTCTTATGGCGGCGAGAATTTCTGGATATTGCATCTCTTTATCTAATGTGTTTAGCTATTTGATTTTTCTACTTTTTTGGACTGAGCCAACTTACGAGAATAAGAATCGTGAAAATATGATACCGGTCCGACCATGCTTGTGTTTTGTTCAATTCTTAATTCATCTCAATAAAACTTTTGTCCCAATTAATTGGGGTTGCCTACATGGGTTCATTTTTTGAGCAAGTTATCCTATGGTGACTTTTGGGTACCAAATTTTGAATACCACTTGTTGTGTCACCAACCCATTGGTTTAATGAGTCCCACCATTCTTTGGTGACATATTAGATAATATCCAAATTGTTACCTGAACTTGGTCTCCGTCTTTTCTTTCTCTTCATCTTATATATCTTGTTCTCCATCCTTAGAACTTAAGATAGAGAGAATTGTAAGCCTTCAATTTAATTTTAACCTCCTTAACTGCTTTAGATTTTCCTTTACCCATTTGTTTCTTGTAAAAAAAAAAAAAATTAGTATTCATTCTCTTTCCAATCATTGTTATTGTTCCTATGTTCCAAGTTCCTAATTGTATTTTACACTCTTGGACTAGTTTCTTTATGTGCACTTGTCTATTAAAGTGTTAGCACCTTTCCCTGCTTCTCACCATTTGGGGATCAATGTGGCATGTCACTTGGGGGAGTTGCTGGCATTTTAGTTGCATCTGTGATAGTAAAGTTAATCCACAGGTAAAGAAGTGCATCACAGGATTGAAATGTGATGACATGTGTAATCATTGAATGTTTATCTTCAATGGGACTTTAATGTGTTACGAGTTTGGTGAGTTATTTTACTTCCATAGTATCTAATAGCTTTAGTGCAGGTGCAACTAATTGAGCCTACTGTGAAGGGTACTCTTAATGTACTCAAGGCATGTTCTGAAGCAAATGTCAAACGAGTGGTGGTTGTATCTTCTGGAGCTGCTGTTTCCTTGAACCCTGAATGGCCCAAGGGTCAAGTGAAGGACGAGACTTGTTGGTCTGATGCGGAATACTGCAGAAGAACTAATGTAATCAATTAAACAAGCCAACTTTAAACTTGTAATGATTATGTTGTGATTGTAGTGCATTTCTGCTTGATATTATTCAAAGCTTTTTAAAATTGTAGGTTCCATGCTAATGTTTTCTATATTTATATTGATTTTCTGGTTCTTTGCCCTAGAATTGGTATTGTCTTTCCAAAACAAAAGCAGAAAGTGAGGCTTTTGAGTATGCGAAAAGAAGTGGGCTTGATGTTGTAAGAGTGTGTCCAACCCATGTTTTGGGACCAATGCTCCAGTCCACAGCAAATGCTAGTAGTTTGGTTCTCATTAAGCTTTCAAAAGGTAACTAATTGAATAAACCTATATCATTTTATTTTCTCAGGTAGAAGCAGCATTTTTTATCCATGTAAATCTTGTTTTCTTTTATTCTAAATGATGTGCTCATATGTGTTCCTATGCATGTTTATATGCTGCGGTGGAATGTTAACTTTTGAACTTTAATGCTTGAGAAGTTACTTTTGGTATTACATTCCATATGGGAAGCATTTTTGCTCTGCTTTATCCTTCTTGTTATGCTTTAAGCCTACAATCTAGGACTCCAATTTGTATTAAAAGGATAAATGTATATATATATATA